CTCTCTCTCTCTCTCTCTCTCTCTCTCTCTCTCTCTCTCTCTCTCTCTCTCTCTCTCTCTCTCTCCGTGTGTGTGTGTGCGTGCAGGGTGGAGTTCAGGTGGAAGTCAGGAGGTCGAGCGAAAGTCAGAAGTCGAGGTCTAACGCGTTCGCATGCATGAACAGCAAACAGCCCAGATGGGCCCCTAATGCCGCTTAGCTCTTTCTATAATGCGTTGATTATTTTTATACATAATTGTTCTGTAACTCTTTGGGATTTCTTCCTATAGTTTTATTCATATTTTACTTTTTTCTTTTTCTTTTTTTTTTTATTTCTCAGTAGTAATTACAAAATATTTTACTAGATTCTTGTATCATAAACTCTCCCTCACTTTTCACAACCTCTCGGCACAAGCCCTGTTTGAATGAAGGGACTGAAAAGGCCGCTACACTGGAGTTCAGTTTGTCTCCTCTGTATGCTCATCATTGCGCTTGAGAGTCCACTCTGCAAGGATATCTTGCAGATTCACCGCACCACAATTACATCCAAGGTCACTTAGTTGACTATCTGTGAGAAAAATGAGGGTCCAAAGTGCATTGACGCTTGCACAATTGTGGGGCCCTTGACTTGAGTTCAGTTTGTCTTCTCTGTATACTTGCAGATTCACGGCACCACAACTACATCCATGGGTCACTTACTTGACTATCTGTGAGAAAAATGAGGGTTCAAAGAGCATTGACGCTTGCACAATCGTGGGGCCCTTGACTTGAGTTCAGTTTGTCTCCTGTGTATGCTCATCATTGTGCCTGAGAGTCCACTCTGCGAGAATATCTTGAAGATTCACCGCACCACAACTACATCCATGGGTCACTTACTTGACTATCTGTGAAAAAAATGAGGGTTCAAGGAGCATTGACGCTTGCACAATCGTGGGGCCCTTGACTTGAGTTCAGTTTGTCTCCTCTGTATACTTGCAGATTCACGGCACCACAACTACATCCATGGGTCACTTATTTGAATATCTGTGAGAAAAATGAGGGTTCAAAGAGCATTGACGCTTGCACAACCGTGGGGCCCTTTCACTCTCTTTCTCATGTTGCTGCATGAGCTTATAGTTGCCTTACACCTGGAATGCTGCTTATCTCCAAACATTGAATTTTGAATGGGTTGAAGGTGAATCAGCATCTTGTTTGACCTGATCATTCAACGCACACTTTGCACAATTTCCTCCTCATGCTAGACCACTTACCATGGGTGATAAAGCAAGGCTGGATGCACAAGGGATTCATGGTACACAAATTCATCCACTTCGGCACTCTGGACTTTGCCATCAAGAACCAACACCTGCATAATCCATCACCATCAAAGCGGGCCCCACATGTGATTCATTGCTGTGGCCAGTCTGAGACTCATCCAGTGTCCATTCCCCATATGCACATTGGTGCAGACACACATCCACACCCACCCACTACCCACACACACACACACACTTCTCCTCGTCGGCCCCCCTCTTCCTCTCCCTCCGCTCCCCTCCTCCCTTGCCTCGTGGAGAACTACTAAATGCATACAAATGAGCACAGCCAAGAGAAACAGACAACATATAAGGTGAAGGTATGCTAAAAAGAAGACGGCTGTGCACGCATTCTTCGCTAAAGTACGGAAACGTGGTGGGCCTCGCACCTCTCAGAACACAACAATGAAACATCTGTTTCATCGAAAATATTACAATCATTCAAAATATCATATATAATGAAACGGTATTCACCAGTTCGCAGTGGCCGATGCAAATCCCAGGGCTCAGTCCCTAGTCCCCACCTTACCTGTGTACAGTATCTGTGTCGGCCCCTTGAGTTGAACCCGTGACCTGTGTATTTGTAACAGTTGGTAGGCTGTCGTAGGGTCCATAGGTAGCAGGGGTTCAATCTGTAGACCTGTCGAGTAGGAGTCTCAGTCAGGTCTAGAAGTCGTAGCTGTAGCTTTCTCGAAGGGTCAAGGTTGTAGCTGCTACAGTCCAGAAAGGTCAAGGTAGTAGCTGCTACTTCCGGAAGGTCCGAGTAGTGGCCTTTCGAAGTTGCCCATGTTTAAGCTGAGGCAAGTGGGCAAGTGGTGAGACAAGTGGGCAAGTGGTGGAGTCTACCCGTGCTGAGTCAACAGTTCCAGTCCCAGTCAGTCCTGGTCCAGTCAAGCAAGTACTGCATGGGACTGTGTGCACTACGGGCATGGGAAAGGGCCAGACCAACGAGCTGCAGAAGTATAAATCAAGGGGCAGTGCCCAGCCATTCATATTCATTCCTGCGTGAGCCATGCGGAAGCGCTGTAATAGCTGTGCGAGGTGGTCTGCAGTGAGCCCGAGGACGAAGTGGGCAAGAGAGAAGGAGCCTTAGCGATAGGGTAGCAGCGGCCATAGCCGTCATAACTGTAGATAGAGTTCAGTGTGTGTGTGTGTGTGTGTGTACAGAGTATCGCGTGTGGGATATCCAGGGTGATCCTGTGTATGCGAACAGAGAGTTGTGTGGGCGCTGAGTCGCCATAGCCATCGAAGTGAACTTGTATCTGAACTGTGTGCTTGGCTACCATATCTCTGAGTTTTGAGTGGGCGCTTCTCGCCAGTTTGCTGCGCACCTGTTTGCATGCATGCGAAGTGTGAATGAGAGTGAGTCTGATTGCAGTAACTTGATGGAAGATTGTAAGGTAAGTGGGATGGACGTGCAGTCATGAGAGTCGGCGGCACGTGTGACTGAATGAGAGAGAGAGGAGGACACAACACACGAGAGGCTGCTGCTGGAACGTGGAAGAGTCCAGCTCGATGGACCAGTTGAATGTATGTGACCAAAGAGTGACACTGAAGCACTGCAAAACAGATATCCCGGTGGTCCAGGGGACAACCTGGATGCCGGGCCCAGCAGTCCAAGAACAAGCCTGCGGTCTGGAACTGGACCGGCATGATGCAGGCTGGTCCAAGTAGGGAGGTTCCAATCTTGGAACTACTCATCCGGATGGAAAAGGCTTCATTCTGGTGACAGTCTAAAACACACACACACACACACACACACACACACACACACAGAACATGAGTCGACAGCTTGCCTGAGCTCATAAGCTGACAGTCTGACACCAAGAGCATTACAACCCAAGCAAAAAATTAGCACCCTGACCACCCCTCATCCTTGTACTCCGGAAATCAGTCCAGCCAGTGGGCCCGACGTCGTGAACTCCGGTAGTACCCCACGGCACTCGGCGCGTCTATCTGAGCCGTTGGTCCGGACCGACGGCCTGGATCTCGGCGTGGTCCTAAGATCTTAAGACCGCATCTATCCAGGCCGTCCGTCTGGTAACCCCCGACGGCCCAGATGGCAGATTTGTTACATGGTTCGGTCGATCTGGGCCGTGGGCTGGTAGGACCGACGACGGCCCGGATTTCAGATTTGTCATGTTAGCGATTTTAATAGTGTACTACTGTAGGGAAAAAGATAGCATGGCACTATATCACAAGGAAGCCCTCTGCCGGAGGACTGGGAATTCTCGACCCTGGCCAAGAACGTAGGCCCTGCAAGTGAAATGGATCATAAAGATCTTAACAAAACAGTCCTGACCATGGATCAACATGGCGCTAGAGAGGATTCACAATCTGACATCAGTTGAAAATCCACAAAATATGGAATCCCAAAACAGGTCGTCATAGAACGAGAGAAAAAATCACGGGCGATTCGACACAGCTACAGCTTTCCCCTATTGGACTGCGCTAATCCGTATCTGGAGTGAATTTTTTTTTTTTTTTTTTTTTTTTTAAACAGAACCTCTTGGTTCTGGCTCCTACCATTCTGGGGAGCAACCGTATCTGGAGTGAATTAATGCCCAGTAAAGTTTTAAAAAAACAGATCCAAAACAAAGTGCTGTGGCAACCTCTATAATTCGGGAACCCCACAATCAGAAGCGAGAGTGACCTCCCATGGCCGCGAACTCCCAAAGACAGCAGACGGGGATCATGGGTCAGCCGCAGGATATGGGAGATTGGTCACATATGGGATGACGAGAAGAAAGACTGGCTCAATGAAAACGAACCCGAAGCTCGCCTCAAAGGATGTCGTCATCCGTACGAAAACTTACAGGAAATGACAAGAAGCATCCCGGAAACCTGGCACAAACTCCTCAAAGTAGATTTCTCCTGGAAACCAGGAGAATGGGGGGTTGAGATTCAAGAAATAACTCCAACCCAGACCTACTTCTCACACAGGGCTGCCAACAATAGCCACGCGTGACGCGTCTGTATTCACTTCCATGATTCCATCCATATTTTCTACTCCAATCCCAAATCCCCTTTTATACTGAATCAAGACCTGAAAAATGCCATTCTAAATGGGTATGCCTTACATAAAATCAGAGTGATGGGCTTTGGCCAAAGGTGATATTTCAAATTAACACTGCCATCCAGGACTCGGAATTTGACACAGCCGAATGGGGCTGGCAACCAACGAAAGGCAAAAGGAAGAACCTGATTGTTCCAATATCCTGATTACACAGTCAAATTAAGCTATGAGATGTTGCTGAAGACACAAGACCCAGAACCGACTATTGGAAGCAGATGGACAAAATTGTTAGGGGATGAAGCGGACCAAAGGCCTCAGTAAGCCCTTTTTGGGCCTGTTCAGCAAGTACGGCCGCCATAAGTGAACGCGGGCCTAATAAGTTACGTGAGGCCTATTTTTGTGTTTTCCGCAAACTGGGGAAAATCAGACAGTTATGCTGCGTCAGTTGGTTGAATGAGCCCAGGCCGTGCGTAACAACATCTGTTTCGGGCTTCTAGGCCCTTCCTGAATGAATCAGAGGCAGGCCCTGGGCCAGACATGAGGCACGAACTGTACACAGCACGCCTGGCAGTTGAACACGTGTAACTGCCAGAGGACTTGCGGAATATTCCCCTGGGACAGAGGTACAGCGATGTGGGGCCTACCGGAAGCTTCTGGGCAGAGGCTCAGACCAGCCAGACAGCTCACGACTGGCAGCCACTTTCCATAAAGAAAAGGGCCTGGCCACTGGCTGGGCATTCGGGCAGTCGCTGCTTCAAGCGTAAGCGCTGCTGTGCTAGCTTCAGAGGCGAGTAGCCTACGCGCTCACGGGCAAGCAGGGTTGAACGCAGCCAGCCATAGCCAGGCTCGCCTGCCCATTGCTGGATGAAGTGCATGGTGGTCTTCGGTTGCATGTGGCATCTGTGTGGGGGATCGAGGTTGTGAGTGTGGCGAGGACATACCTGGTGCTTGATGCCGACGGCATTGGGCGAGATCTGCTCGTATTTCGGAAAGCTGTTGACGTCACCGGCGGAATTGTAGATAGGCTAGATGGGATCTGCCAGTTGTAGTCTGGGCGCCGAGCGTCACTTGGGGGAACGACATTGGTTCATGGATGATGATGATGAGACTATTTCAACATTGTCATTTGTGAGCTCTGCTGTGCTCGTACTTGGTGTATTTCGTGTTGCAATTCTGCTTTGGTTCGAGGTCACGAATATCTGGTTTCATACTGTGTTAAATTCCGGGCCGCCCGGCGGCCCAGCAGGGCTCCCGGGCGGCCCAACCGGTTGGGTCCCCCAGTTCGATGCCGGGCGGGCCCAGCGCATTTTTGCGCCGGGGGGGGGG